ACACACACACACACACACACACACACACACACACACACACACACACAGTTCAGGCACGGTCACATGGAAACACTCGGTCATTTGCAGAGAGGTGAAGGCAGACCTTCCTGCCATGACTCAGTGAGTGAGTCTGTCATTTTCCTTTGCAGCACGGAGAGCACTACAGGCTGGAGCTGTTCGAGGGAGACAACTTCACCAGCCAGTGTGTGGAGTTGTGTGACGACTGTCCGTTTCTGCAGACACGAGGCCTGACAAAGAACTGTGTCAACTCCATCAAGGTTTATGGAGATGGAGCGTACGTATAACGTTAGACTGAAACTGCAGGAGCTCAGAGCACACACATAAACACATTCCAACATGTTAAATACCTGTACGTTGGGTTTAGTTCAGAGATGCTGAACTCATACAAAAAATGATTTTTTATTCATATTTATGCCTATTCATGTGGTTTTATTTATATTTTTAAAGATAGTATAAAAGATAGTTGATAAAAAAAGGTCTCATTGATTGAAATTGAATTTCACGTTTTTACGTTGAACACCATCAAACTTGTAGGATATAAAAAGGTTTATGAATTCATTGCCAGCCCTAAAGATAGACCCAAATTAACCTTTCAAAGCTACAGCTGCTTCATCAAAATATGTCCGTCTGCACAATTATCAGCCATGGATTAAATCAGTAAGATCTAGATGCTTTGCCAAGGTCTACCTCACCAGATAAGACCCAAGATGCAGGCAGTTCAAAGATGCCCCTGAGACAGTCCAACACAACATGGCAGGGCGTAAGATCCACGCAGGCGAAGCATACATGGAGCTCCATAACCAAGTGGCTGGAGTAATATACAGGACCATCTGTGCAGAGTATGGACTGCAGGTCCCACAGTCAAAGTGGGAGACTCCACCAAATGTGGTGGAGAATGGAAGGGCTAAGATACTGTAGGAATTCCAGATCCAGACAAACGGGTGATGGCTAACCAACCGGACATTGTGGTGGTCAGCAAACAAGAGAAGAAGACAGTGGTGACAAATGTAGCAATCCCAAGTGGCTAACATCAGGAGTAAGGAGCACAAGAAGCTCGAGAATGACCAAGGTCTGATAGAGGAAATACAGAAGCTGTGGAGGGTCAAAGCATCAGTGGTAGTACTTTGTAGTATCATTGGATCACTTGGTGCTGTGACCCCAAACTGGAAGACTGGCTCCAACATATCCCAGGAATAACCTGAGATTTCAGTCCAGAAGAAGTCCTGAATGCTAAGATACTGAACAGAACCCTCGAACTCCCAGGCCTCTGGTTTGAAAAGAGGTGGACCTGCCCAAGTGGAAGAGTAGGACGAGCTACAAGATTGTTTTATATATACACACATATACAGTATATACGAGTGTGAAGCGACCGGGATGAGGATCAGTGCCTCCAAATCCGAGGCCATGTTCTTGAGCCGGAAAAGGGTAGAGTGCCCTCTCCAGGTCAGGGAGAAGGTCCTGCACCAAGTGGAGGAGTTTAAGTATCTTGGGGTCTTGTACACGAATGAGGGAAAAAATGGAGCAAGAGATCAATAGGCAGATAGGTGCGGCGTCTGCAGTGAAGCGGGCGCTGTACCGGTCTGTCGTGGTGAAGAAAGAGCTGAGTCAAAAGGCGAAGCTCTCAATTTACAGGTCAATCTACGTTCCTACCCTCATCTATGCTCATGAGCTTTGGGTTGTGACTGAAAGAACGAGATCACGGATACAAGCAGCCGAAATGCGTTTTCTTCGCAGGGTGTCTGGACTCTCCCTTAGAGATAGGGTGAGAAGCTCGATCGTCCGGGAGAGACTGGCTCCAATAGATCAAGAAGAGCCTTTGCTTCTCCACGTTGAGAAGAGCCAGTTGAGGTGGCACGGGCATCTGGTTAGGATGCCTCCTGTATGCCTAGGTGTTCTGGACATGTCCCAGTGAGAGGCTCAATGGGAGAGTTATCATTTATCCCATTGACAGGAGACCCAGAGGAAGACCAAGGATACGCTGGAGGGACTATGTTTCTCGGCTGGCTTTGGAATGCCTTGGGATTCCCCTGGAGGAGCGTTCCCAAGTGGCTGGGGAGAGGGAAGTCTGGATCTCCCTACTAAGGCTGCTACACCTGCGACCCGACCCCGGATAAGCATATATATGTATATATATATATATACATATATAAAATGGTGTCTTAAACAGAATACATGGGGTCACTTGTCTTGACCAATATAATTTCTGCAAAAAAGTGATGACTTACAAGCTGATTTGCCTGAGCCTTTAGTGATACAAAGTTCTTCAGGAATATGCAATTGCAGTCATGAACCTTTATTATGTTAACCATGAACGTTTTTTTTGGATTAAGCCCAGCAAAGAGTTTTACACAAACTATTTTACATTTATTTTTGTGCAGTTATGACTTTAATTAAAGTCTTAGCGCTCTTTAAAGGAATTCATATTGCACACTTCCTTTCATGCCAGAGATTTAGCCCAAGATTATTTGTTGTAGCTGTTTTTGTCAAACCTTGAATATAACATTTTACAAAACCTTGTGCGATATTGTGAGCTGTAACACATAGTATGTGTTGTGAATAACTCTCAGCAACAACCACAGCAAATTTTAGGTCAATATTTCTTTAAATGGCTGCATTTTAGCCATTTTTGTGTTTTTGAAGGTCAGCTGACTGTGGCAGCCATGAATCGGGCTGACTTTAAAACTGCTGTAGAAGTACATCCAGAATTGTTTAGTTGTCAAGTCAAATTTAAAACAATAAAATAAATAAATAAAAATGACATAAATTGAAGGTTTTGTAATTTGACCGCCGCTACATTTTGCACTTCTAGACACATTTTGATTTTCACTTCCTCTCCAATCAGCTGGGTGTTGTATGAGGAGCCAAACTACCACGGCAACATGTACATCGTGGAGAGAGGAAACTACTGCACCCACAAGGCGTGGCAGGCCGAGAACCCCACCATCCAGTCCGTTCGCAGGGTCGCCAACTATTTCTAATGCTATCTTACCATCCAACCGTGAATCGGGGACAAGAAGCGTCATCTCTCCCCGACTGCAGCCGCAGAAAAATAAAACGTATAAAATGTTTGATGCCTTTATTTTTCTCCTGACTTAGTCAAAGGTCGAAATAAAGTAGTGATTCTACAGTATTTTCAATCCCATTCCCATGCTATTTCCCGTGTGCGCTCACTCCATGTGCAGCTTGTAGTTAACCGTAACATTTCATTGTGGAAATTGCTACAAGGCTATGATTCAGGTAATTGCTTCCCATTATCAACATAAGTATAAAAGCTTTAAGTGCTGTGCTTTTCCTCATGCTAATGGATCCTTACCAAGTTATATATGAGCTCCTCTGAACTCTGCTGAACATAAATTAATAGACATGCATGGACTTCAGTTGTTCAAGACTGCAAATAAAAAAAACATACCCAATAATCAACAAAAGACAAGGCCTCTTGACTCCCACACAGGTGGATATTTAGTCACTAAAGAATAGGAAGCAGGTGTCAACCCCCCATGCAGAGTGGAACTCAGAGGTGATGGAGACATATTGCATGGGTCCACATGCAAATGCCCAAGGGAGCTCTGCTACCATCTAGTGTCATTTATCTGTTTTTACTGTGTCACCCACCTCAGGCCTCTCTGCAGGAAGCTTGAACAATACAACCATAAAACACAAACTTATAGAGCTAAATCTTTGGCTGCGATGCAACGATTTGCTTCATTAAGTTTTGTATTTGATCTCTTTTAATAAAAATGGCCTTAAAAGTGTGAGCTTTTTTAAAAGAAAATTGGAAATATTTAGAGGAAGAGTTGGCTGAAGTCTGCATTAAAGGAGTTGAACGTTAAACCAAGATCATTTCATGTTGAGAAGTGATGTGCTTGAGAGGTTTTGGTCCAACCTTGACAAGAAGGCATGCTTGTATGACTCTCAGCTACTGCCACATCAACTTTTAGCTCCATATCTTTAAAATTGACCGACTTATAGCCATTATAGTGATGGCCAATTTTAATTAGCTAGGACAGCCAGCTTGAATTGAATTAACTTGAAAAGTTAAAGAGCTGAAGACATGTATGCTGTGATTATTTCCTACAGTTTCCTTAAAAATCTGTCATGTGGTTCATGACATATTTTGCTAACAGACAAACAGGGTTAATGCCAACTGTTAAATGTTTGTGATTTGACTAAATGTGTATCTTTTGGAGTATGTTTTGTGAATGACTCACAGCTACGATTATACTAGATTTTAGCACAATATCCATGAAACTGATTGAATTAAAGTCATTGTTGTGCTTTCTTAATTCAGTTCAATCGACCTTTATTTATACAGGTAAATCCCATTGAGCCTCGAGGACTCATTTACAAGAGAGACCTGATACCAGTTAGCTGTGGCAGCCATCTTGATTTGGGTTGACTCCAAGCATTGATCAGCTGTAGATTTACATCCATTTGTTATTTCATGACATTTCAATCAAAATCCTTCGTGTTTCATGAGATATTTTGCTAACAGTCATTCATAGTTGAGTCAAAATAGTTAATGGCTAAATAAACAATGCTGCTGTGCAATTTGTTAGTGCTCAGAATATGTGCTGGAGATCAGTCTCAGCTACTGCCACACTGAAATTTCAGTTATTGTCAGTAAAATTGATAGAGGTACATCTATTTAAGTGTTTTTGAAGTTTACCATATTTTTCGGACTATAAGGCAGAATATCAATGAACGGGTCTGTTTTCATGCATATTCTGCAACCTGAAGCTAAACTTTTGCTGCATGGAGTCTTGCTACATTTGACTTTTAGCTAGGGCGGCATGGTGGTGCAGTTGGTAGAGCTGTTGCCTCTCAGAGAGAAGGCCGCCTGATCAAATCCTGGCCCGTGATCATCCTGGGTGGAGTTTGCATGTTCTCTCCGTGCATGTGTGGGTTTTCTCCGGGTACTCCGGTTTCCTCCCACAGACCAAAATCATGCCTGTTAGGCTGATTGGTAACTCTAAATTGTAGGTGAGAGTGAGAGACTGGATGGTTGTTTGTCTCGTTATGTCTCTGTGATGGACTGGAGACCAGTCCAGGTTGTACCACGCCCCTCGCATAGTGCTGGACATGGGCACCAGTGACTGCCGTGACCCAAAATGGAAGAAGCGGGTAAAGATAATGGATGGCTGGATGATGGATGGACTTTTAGCAAGTGCTTTGCATCTTTTAGCTTTAATTGATCAGTTTCAGCGTCGTCAGCCAATTTCAGCAAAGTAATTCAGCGCTCAGCCTTCACAGACAAGAAATGCACAGAATGTCATCCTACGCAAGACGAAGCACAAGCGCTGCAAACTGAGTTATTCTGTAGTTAGTTTTTTTGTGTTGACACTGTATGACATGCTTTACTTCATTCGTTTCTATTTATTTGTCTTAGAAATGTCACGCCCTATAGTTGTGGCCATTGGATCTTTAATGAGCACTCGTGTGCTTTCTCCAACTGTCATGACAACAGAACATCTATCTTTACAAGGTTTCGCTCACGGCCTCCATCGAGGCACAGGGTCAATACATGATAGCTTAATGAGGAAATGCTTTGTCTTGAGTTACGCTCAGCAGCACTAGTTTAAGGGCGATTACCTATGGCTAACCCTATTCCTGAGCCATTTGCTGCATGTACTGACCGAGTGTCACTCTCATGCCATTAGTGCGGATGTTAAAGAGAAGGAATTGACTGTGACATGTGAGCAAGACTTAACGGCATTTTAACAATGTCGTACTCGATTTTCTGTGATGATGGGATTTATTATTGTTGCACAAAGGGCCCTTTGTTTTGAAATCGTGTGAGAAAAGCCAGAAAGAAAACAGCATACCGAGACACTTCATGATAAAAGGAACCAATTCTGGCACAAGTACAGTTCAAGTACTTGCACTAATGGAGGTGACGAACATTTCTTTGTTTTTGTGGTGGTAATAAAAAGAAAAGCAGACCAAATTAGTCAGAGGAAAATAACTTTAATCATTATTCTTTTGAGAAAAATAACTCTGTAAATAACTGTGTTGGCTGAGAGACTTCACGAAAAAGCAATCCTTGCTAATCAATTATTTGACGCATAATTTCTTATAAAAAACACAATATTTTGAAACTAAGGAGAATTATATAGATATAGACATTCTGTTTTGTTTACGTCCTTGTATAAAGTGTGCTATAACGGGTTGTATTGTATATTTTTGAGTGATATAGTCAGCCTTTAACAGTATGTAGAGGTAAAATGAGAAATTGGAACAAATGCATTTTAAACACCGTTTATTGTATCATGTTTCCCCCAAACTAGGGCAGCTATTTATAGCTAAGCCACTTATGCATTAAAGATTATTCAGATAGAAAAACATCATATACTACTTGTTGGGCTTGTCTGAGACATTTGTTAGAATAAAACACTAAACTTTTTACATTGGCAAAATAATGGTCTCATGCGACGCTAAACATAGGTAAAGGGGTACTACAAAATTAGACAGACAAGAATATAAAATTCAAAAAGTACAAACCAAAATATGCACATTATACTTTTATATTGATGATAAGGTGTCCATCCATCCATTCATCCATCCATCGATCCATCTTTCCATTATCTTTACCCGCTTCTTCCTTTTTGGGTTGCAGGTGCCACTGGTGCCCATATCTACCTATCACTGTGTGAGAGAAGGGGGACACCTGGACAGGTTTCCAGTCCATCACAGGGACACACAGGGACAAACAACCATAAGGTGTCTTTAAATTAAATAAGCAAAACATAAGCAAAATTTGTGACCGGGATGCCAACAAACAAGCGTTTGTTTACTTACGGAAAAATAAAAAACAAAGTGACTGAAAATAGGTCAAACGTTGAACTTACAACTCATTTTTGTTTACGTACAAAAATAGTACATATTGTCTAATAACTCAAGCTTTTTAGTTTCCGATGGACGTTTTGTTTACATTGAGTGCGGACCGCATTTCAAAATTTCAGAATGGAAAAAGTACCGGAGTAAACTCTTTCAAACTGTGCCAGTTTGCACCTCCATACCATGATAACCTTTATGATTTAAAAGAACATTTTAACAGATACACATTATTTCAACATAACTATCATTTAAACCTAACAAAGTAAAGTCAGGTCCTCTGAACGGATTCAAAAAAGTAAAAAACAACTTGTTGCAACGTTTCGTCTTTAATCCAAAAGACTTCTTCAGTCTGAGGAACTGCAATAAACTCAGTCTTATAAATAGCATCTTCTCATAGTGGATCAACCAGTTTGTTGGTGACATCCAGAACTAGCTGTTCGCATGATAAAGGAGGACCATCAGCGTAACGACGGATCATTAGTGCTCCGATGGCCACTTGCTATTCACAGAGGGCTGAGTGATATTAGTAATAACAGCTAGTAACAGGGATGAAGATGTGCACATCCTTGTAGGAACGTTGATTTGAGAGGAGAGAAGGAAGCCATCTTTGTGAAGAGAAACTGTCCGTCATTAAACTGGGCAGAGGCCTTAGCCCTCTGTGAATAGCAAGCGGCCATCAAGACACTATCAGTTGTTAAGCTGATAGTCCTCCTTCCCACCAGCAGGAGTCGCCAAGTCCGCCAAGTAAGCAACTTTGGGCTTGTTTTTTCTAAAGTCGCTTTTAAATCTTGTGAGTGGCGGGTTGTGGTTTTTGGGGCTTGTTTTGATCGTGAAGTTGCTTATTTGGACTTGACTTTATTTCCAAGTGAAACTAGTTGATTATCTCCCAGCTATGCACAATAAAGCAAAAGACGAGTGGTAGTAGGTAGTTTGTCCCTTCCACGCCCCCGATTCCCGTTTATCGCTCTCGCCCAAGTTGGCGACGCGACAGGCGCACACATATACCAATACGTTCGTGGGCGCGCAACCCAAACGCTCATATTGAGGCCGACCACTAGGGGGCTCCACTCACACGCAGATGTCAGGATGTTTTGTTTTTAAAAATATTTAGAAAAAATTACATATGCAAAATATATTTTTTTTTAATCAGAGCTTAAAAGTATGTTATTCAAAGTGTTTAGCAAAATTTTGCTGTTGTTCATGTGTAATACCATAATGTTTATGCAAGGGGTGCACCGATTGCAGTTTTCTAGCCGATCACCGATTTCTAAAAAGTCTGACCTGCCGATTCCGATTTTGGCCGATACCGATTTCGTTTTATAAGCGACACTGTCAGGTGTTATAAGGTCACAATGCACCTTCAATTTTCCAATATTATTTTATTGAAAAACATACCCTTGGACAATATTCTAGAAACAACACAAACTTGTTTTAACTGGCCCATGAGGTAGTGCTCCGAAATATAAAAGAAGTTCGGATAATTGTCGTTAAAAACTTTTTTTTTAATCGGTTTCTCGTGCAAGTATAAGGAAATTGGGGCCGATTTATCCGTGGCCTGTTTTACACAATGTGTTGGGTTGCCAGTGGGGCTTGTTTTCATAGAGCTGGTTGCTTGTTTCTATCGTGAGATCTGGCAACACTGGAAGAGCTAGTTGTGGATGTCACCAGCAAACTGGTTGATCCACAATGAAATGGGGCCATTTATAAAACTGAGTTTATTGCAGCTCCTCAAACTGAGGTCTTTTAAAAAAAAAAAAAAAAAAAACGTTTCAACAAGTTTTTTTTTTAATCTTGTCTAGAGAACCTGATTGAACTTTGCTAGATTTTTCTACCTGTTTTATTGAGCATGCGTCAGGTCAACAGTTAAAATGGAGTAGAAGCCCAACCTTGACCACAGAAAGTGCGAGCCCTCTTTTTCATTGTAACCGACACAAATATCCCGGCGTGGGAAACGCACGTACGGACTCGGTGCGCGTGAAATAAAACGCAATAATGTGGACAGGACGGTAGAACACCAAGTCATTTCAGTGTGTCGGCGCTGTGGCGTTAAGGTCACTCTACCTCCCCCCTCTCTCTCTTTGTGTTTACACATCCGGGTTTCCCTGTTTGCAGCCCATTCCCCATTTAGAAGCCATTTTGGACACAGATCAGTAACATGCATGTAAGCCCCCTCCGACCTCCCCGACGCGGCGGCGCTTCCATTCTGCTCAACAAACACCACCGAGCGTCGAGCCGCCGAACTCGGATGCTGTAACGGCCCCTCGTTCGGTACCTGGACCCGATTCCGAGCCGAAATGCGGCACCTTTTTGGACTAACGTCCCTCGCGCGGCTGGTCGACTAACCCCCCCCCCCCCTGTTTTTTTTTTTTTTTTTTTTTTCCCTTCGCGACATTGTTGCAGCTCCGCGGCTACCGACCCGCGCTGTGGCGGTGGCGGCTGCTCCGAGGCACCGGGGAGGCCTGTCGTCTGGTCCCGGGCTCATGTTTTTCTCCGAGCCGACTTTGAACGCTCGCGACGGCACGAGAGCGAAGCCTCCGTCCCGCATTTAACGCGGAACATGTCGTGTTCATGGCTCACTTGTTCACTTCTTCTGGGAACTTTATGCGCAGGTAAGCGTCCATTTTATTTATTTTTTTAATTATTTTCATGTATTTATCAGTAAATAAGCTTAAATTTGAATATCCACGTTTTTGAAACGTGAACCCGCGAAGCAGAACCTCGTGTTTTTAAACTTTACTGTCACTCAGCCGGGATTTAAACCCTCTCAACCACGTTTGTTTCCCTCCTCCTTTCACGTTTGCAACCTCCATGTTTAGCTTTTGGATTAAAACTCTTATTGTGCACGTGAACTAGTTGAAGGCATGTCTAAATGTGAAACTGTTGCGCCCCCCCCCTCTCAACAGTAGCGGCAGGAATAGAAGGCAGCAGCTGCATCAACATCCTGAAACCTTAGAGGCTACATTTCAGCTCTGCTCTCCTGTTTGTGGTCACTCAGCCTGAAGAAAAACACACTTTCACCGCCAGGAATCGAGCATTTATTCATTCTGAGTCGACCACAGCTCCATTCAAGTGGTTATTCCAAACATTTCTGCAACCACGTGAAATACAGCGGGTGCTTCTCCCCCTATTGTTTTGGGGAGTTTTCGTTGCTTAAGTACACATCTTCTTTTCTCTTAATCTCTACTTTCACTTATTGTTTTTTGTCTTTTGACTTAACACAATCATTCCCAGGGTATTTTCCTCTCCTAATTGTGTTTTTAGCATTTTCATCCAGGCACAGCTGCTGTCTCCTGTGAGCAGCTAATGCCTTTATGGTTTATAGATTAAGGGGCATGATGGGGAGAGTACAGTAAAGCTGCTTCTCCAGAATTCATGTTGTTGTGTAAAAGCCCAGTAAGTGATGGGGGGGGGTGGGGGGGAATGATCTTGTAGTAAAAGTCCTCCCTGGATCATGTGACCACAGATATCAGAAATGCCATCTCGGCTCAGTGGAGCATTGAGCATCACGGCTGTATGAGTGTTTTTGGTCTTTTTTGTTTAATTTCTCACTCTTTCTGTCCTGTGTCGGCATCGTGGTCATTTCGTGCACCTCTGTTTGGTGTAACAAAGTCCATTGTGTGCTGCTGGACTGAATGTGTGAGTGGATGTGTAATGGGCTGATGGGGGTAAAGCTGGGGGATGGGCAGCCTCCTATAGGCAGGGATTTAAAGAGACAGGCTCTATTTTTTCTCTGAACAAAGATTAGGCTTGAACATCCCAGCCATTTCTTTTTTAGAAAGCACAACATGCTGTCTGCTTCTTACCGCAGCGTGCAAAGCGTCCACAGACACTAATTCAACCTTTTTTAAACCGTTCTGTTTTAGCTTGGTTTAAGTGAAAATACCCTTATCTGTCTGCACAGATGAACCCTGATCTGTAGAAGTAGCATGTGAATGAACACATGCCTTGTTTCTTTACCGCAACATGCAGATTATTGTTTTATATCTAATCAAACCGGGTAATCATCATTGTTTTGTCAGTGGCGTTATGCTGAGGCAGTATTCAGCAACAATTTCTTAGCCCAGAGGAACTCCCTTTTCACTACAGTGAGCTCCCAAAACTGGCCACACGCCAGAGCGATGATAGTCTCCTGCTCCGAGATGTTTCTTCGTGGATCCCGCGCCATATGTCTGCGCTTCCACTGTTGAGATTCAATTCTTTGTGCGATGTGAGCTGACTGAGGCCTTCTGTCCATATCAGGGTACAGTCTCGGAGAGGTGGAAACCCGGGAGTGTGTGTACTACAATGATAACTGGCGTACGGAGAGGACCAACCAGAGTGGCTTCGAGCGCTGCGAGGCGGAGAAGGACAAGCGCCTGCACTGTTATGCCTCCTGGCTCAACTCCTCAGGGACCATCAAGCTGGTGAAGAAAGGCTGCTGGTTGGACGACTTCAACTGCTATGACAGGTTAGGTCACAGCGTATTAAAGTTTCGTTCAGGGTGTCTGACTTCACTCAGTGTAAGAGGCAGGAATAACCACAGCAAAACAAACACGTGGCCTAACACATCGTCTTCAGCTTCTCGCTCTGTTTGTCAAAGAAATATGTCGAATATATTTAATGAAGTGGGTATTGATTAGCATTTTGCTAACTCTATCCTCTTAAATTGGAGAAAAATACTATTTTTTTTCTTACCGCTCGGCTGAAAAGAACACAATTTCAAGCTTTTTCTCTGCTCTCAACAATTCAAAGACCTGAAATGGGATATTTTACACTTTTGGAATGCTTAAAGTGCATTTTGTACATAGTAAAGCATTGGTTATTTGCGTTTGTTGGTATTATTTGTTCAAGGCGCTCGTCAGTATGTATAAAATAAGATGACAAACTCTTCTTAGTCATTTTTGTGCACAAACATGTCAGAAGATTAATTAAGATTTAATTAGCATTTATACATATTTGAATGGCTTGCATTGCCAGATTACTGGGTGATAACATATTTTGGTGTATAAAAGCATATAAGTTAAATATATATATATATATCAAACTGTGTGATAATTACCAAAAACGGTGTCATGGATAAGCTGCATGAACAATGCTGACAGATGTGGTGGGATCAGACCGTTCAGGCCTTAGACACTTCTCTGTGTGTGATGTCGCCTCTGGGTTAGGTGGCACAATCGAAACTTTATAGTTTGAGCCTCGGCGTTCAGAGCAGTTCAGGGACCTCTGGTGACGTGAAAGCAGGCTGGAGGAAAAATAAATCAAAGTCCTGAGCGGCACATGTGTATTAAAGGTCTGTTTGCAGTGATTAGAAGCCTGCTTGATATTTAAACTGAGTTTTAGGATTTCCATGCAGTTGTTGGAAACGGTCCAACGGCAGTAAGCAATGATTAATTTGGGTGAAGCTGCAGAACGTTTACAGTCATAACGTTGGACATAAACCAGGTTATATAAAGAAATGATTCTTCGGTAGCAGTTTTTAGAAAATGTATTCTACCCTCCATTGATAAAAGTTATATCTTTTGGTGTGCAGGTCAATTTAATTTGATTGAAAAGCTTCATAAAGTCAGAGCATTGAAGCGTGTGAGTTTTTTTTAACAGATAGCAAGATTAATGATCGTATCTACAGCTTTGGTTGCATGCGATCAAAGAAAACCCGTACATCTTGTGACTTTGGATCTAAACGAAAGATCTGGCAATCTTTCGCAGAAATGCACATTACCTGCTGCCTTTCGTGACGAGTTTTAACAAAGCTCGTCTTACGTTGTGAATGGTTGGTGTTGTAGCTGTTTTGGTCAAATCTTTAAAAAAAAATAATGTATATGCAGTTTCATTCAATACTGTGAGAAATCTGCACTCAAAAGTCCTGGATGGCACACGTGTATGTAAATAATATCGGCTACTACCACACCAAATTCTAGCTCAGTATCTGTAAAATTCTCCAAGGTATATTTATTTTGTGTACACTATAGGTAATTGTCTGTGGCAACCATTTTGAATTGAGTTGTCTACAAAAATTGAACGCGTACTTCCAATATTTACTTTGAAAGTTTAATTGAAATGCAACCAAGTGGTTCATGAGCGGTTTAAACAGACAAACAGGGTTGACTTAGTAGTTGATGTCAAGGATGTATTAATGTATTAAAGCAACTGAGCGATGAATTGTATCCATTTTTGTTTTTAATTAAAATCCATTTTGTGATTTGTGAGAATCTTTTTCGCTAATGGTACATTCAAAACAAGACTTGTGTACACAGACATGGTTAAAACATTCTTGCCCTTTTACTTTTAAGCAGAAGGCAATAATAACCCATTTTTACTGCAAACTTTTTTTAAATATTTTAATCTCTTTTTGGGTTCTTTTTTTGATTTTAGTTGTTTAAAATTTGCAACTCAGACATCAAAAGAAAATAGGGCACCGTTGGCTCAAAACATTGATGCCATTGCTCGTAACCAAAGTCAAATGGTGGATCAGTTAAAGAGTCGAGACAATAAATTAGGTTCATATTATCCTGATGCATGCTCAATAATCCAGGTGGATAAATCTAACAAGGTTGAGCCAAATCCTCTGGATGGATTTGTCTTTAAATAAATAAAGACAAAACATTTCAACAAAGAAGAATCTATCCAGAGGACCTGACTCAACCTTGTTAGGTTCATATATCTTCATAGCTTAAACATTTTTTTAACGTGGTACAACTAAAGTCAGCTGGCACCCACCTGCTACATTAATTTTTCAAAGCATAAAAACATATTTCAGCATTTCTTTTGTGTCATTTTGCTCTTAATCCTGAAAGTGGTGTCTTTTGTGTCATCTGCTGTTTCAGGCAAGAGTGTGTCTCAATGGAGGAAAACCCTCAGGTGTTCTTCTGCTGCTGCGAGGGTAACTACTGCAACGAGCGATTCACTCACCTTCCTGACTTGATTGGCAGCGGGAACCGAGGTAGGTGGTGAATGCGTCCTACGTACTTTACATATTTTCTCCCCTGATTAGTAGAGCACTCCTTAACACAGTTTTTCCATCTTGGAATCACGGGTGAGAAGGATCCTGATTCTTTATAGGACGCTAACCTGACACTTTACTTTGTTAGCATGTACACCTTGAAGTTAAGTCTGAACACAAACTTTATGTAGATGGTTGTATTTTTTAATTTATTGTTTATCTCTTGAGGGGTTGCTGTAGCTCTCTGGTCAGTGCTGTGGTCTGGTAAGTCTGAGGCTGCAGGTTAGATTCCAGGTTGCATGAGGCAGGGCATCTTTCATAAAACATTTGACATGACGCGACAAATAAGCGTTCTCCGCCCACGCGGAAATGTAACGCAGGGTGAGCTAACCTCCGACAAACAAACGAGGCAGCTGTAATGGTGGAGGTAGTGAAGCTCACGGCGTTACCTGAGTCATTTAGTGACACATTTCTGCCTTATCAGCCAACATTAATGCAAATAAGGCAGGCAAAAAACAAATTTAAAGATAGTAAAAACTTAAAATAGTTACTGCAGTATATATTTTCATGTCGCAGAGCAACACAGGGCAAGAATTTACAGTGGAATTCAGTGTCTAAGAGTATAAATTTCACTTTACACAACCAAATAAACGCTTTGTGCAACATTGGTTTAGTGTTAATTGATCATAACAAACAAAGACTAAACTTATGCAAGCAGAAGTTGCAACATATATCTACATTTAAAACACACAAAACAAAGCACAAGTAGCTTTAAGCATTAGCCTTTACTTTAACCATTAAGCATGCAGTGCAGTTATGACAAAAAATGGAGGATTTGCTTGCAGTTGTGCTCACGAGGCTTTATCCATCTTTTACATTTTTCCTGACTCACTTTAGGCTTTGGAAATGGAATAAACTGTATTAAATCCTCTGAACACTCAGGGTAACGTGTTTCTGAATGGGATGTTCCCCACTGACGTTTAACCCATTTTTTCTGAAGATTTTACACTAAATCCACATGACCGCGTTTGTAAAGCAAAACCCTGACAATGTTGTCAGAGAAAAACAAGAGTGCAGCTCCTGCAGGTAAAGGCTGTTTCACTTCGAGACAAATTGCGATCGCCGATTGGCCAGTTGCTGACGAGCCTACTGGGTTGATTGATAGGGATGCACCGATCCATGTTTTCAACATCCGATACCGATATCTGAGCGTTAGTATCGGTAGATGCCGATCCGATACCGATCTGATACAGAAAAACTGCTGAATTCCATTCAACAAACTCAGCGTGCTCTTTAGGGTGAGATCTCTGGAGATGCTTGATTAAGTTGGTAGTGTTATAACTGGGAGTTTAGTGACACCCCCTGGAACCGTCGCTGTGCACGTATTGCACGTAGCTGTCGAATGTGTTGTCTGAGATAGTGTGAAATAGTTCCAGATGGCTGATCCTTTCGCTCGCTCCATTTTGAAAACAATCGGTGCGGCGAGTTCGCTAGCATGTGACGTCACTCAGAGCACGAAGCATAGAATTAGAGTGACTAGATCTGCCCAGTCATGGATCGGTCACATTGTCACGATACCCGATCCAGAAGTATTTTTGATAACTGGACTTATAGCGATATTGGTATTGGATTGGTTCACGTCTATTGATTGACAGATGGCGTCGCGTCAATTGCCAAGTCTTTTATGAGCGTTTGCTTTCTCTCTGCAGTAGGGGGCAACCAAAAGAAAAACAGCTACTGTATTTTTCAGACTATAAGGCGCACTTAAAATCCTTTAATTTTCTCAAAAATCAACAGTGAACCTTTATAATCGGGTGCGCCTTATCTATTAATTCTGGTTGTTCTTACGGACCTTGAACTGATTTTATGCGGTACACTGTTCAAAAATCTTTCAAAATATTTTAGTTTTGCTTAATGCGCCTTATAATCCAAAAAATACAGTACATTTATGGTTTGAGCTGTTTTTAGGTGCCACTTTTAAGCATCAGGTGATGATCTGGAACTGTCCCCATGACTGATGTCAACTTTAGACAAGAGCTTCGACGTACTCCGATTAAACAACCTTATCCAAGAATTAAAAAAATAAAGGTTTACACACATTACATTTTTCATAAGGATCACTCAAAATTATAGTTTTTAGGGTGATTTTAAACATAGTTGAAGTCCAGTTAAAGTGGGTGAATTTGAATAGTCAATCTATAATAACTGCCTTTTTCTTATCTAGAGGCACATCAGCTGCTATGTGAATTACATTTTATTTTCTTTATCCTGCCAGCTGCTATTAAGAGGTTGGTATAATTAGTGTTTATCTTGTGAAATTTATAGTTTGCAAACAGAAAGAATTTAAAGAAAAAAAAAACATGAGTTTACCGATACTAGTGGAACGATTCTGATGATCACGTTTTAATCTCCCAACGACACAGTCACAGTAACATTAAAGATTTGGCAAAGGATGATCAGAGCAATGTCTGATACTGTGGTTTCTGAGGGAGACATGCTGTAATTTTAATTTAGGTTTTAGTTATTCAGTAAATTGAAACCTTGTGGTAATGCAGAGAAAAGACCCAGAAACTTGCTGTCATTGTTGAGAACGTAGACAAGTTTATATTGTAAATATTTTACTATCAACACATTACCTTATTTTTCATTCAGCCAAACCATAGCAACGTAAACGTGTATGGTTTTTAGGATCAGTCAATGGAGGACATGCTGCTGATTTTGTTAGTTATTGTCATTGCCTGCTTGCGTAATGTAAAAATGTATTTGTTTATATGTGGTGTCTGGTCGATCAACAGGCTTCCTGCACAGACCTATTTGTAAGTTGGGGATAAAGGTCTCAGTAAAATCTGTCCTCATTTAAAACCAAGTCTTGCAGTTTTTGAGGGCCACTTGTAAAGCTGCTTATAACTCGCAGGTCATGCAGGTGACGCGCTGCATTTAATTCTGCTCCTTTTTAACAGTAAAAATTCGTCCTCCTCCCCGCGTGCCATCTCTGCTCAATGTGCTGGTGTACTCCCTGCTGCCGCTGTGTGTGCTGTCCTTGGCTCTCATTCTGGCCCTGTGGATGTATCGTCACCGGAAGCCCCCCTACGGTCATGTAGACCTGAGCGAGGTGAGAGAGCAGCTCTGAACTCCCAAGTTTTATCTGCAGGTGCTGGTCATACAATTAGAATATCATGAAAAAGTTGATTTATTTCAATATTTCCATTCAAAAAGTGAAACTTGTATATTATATTCAGTCATTAAACACAGACTGATATATTTCAAATGTTTATTTATTTTAATGTTGATGCTTGTAACTGACAACTAATGAAAACCCCAAATTCAGTATCTCAGAAAATTTGAATATTGTGAAAAGGTTAAATACTGAAGACACCTGGTGCCACAATCTAATCAGCTAAATAACTCAAAACACTTGTAAAGGCCTTTAAATGGTCTCTCAGTCCAGTTCTGTAGGCTACACAAACATGGGGAAGACTGCTGACTTGACAGTTGTCCAAAATATGACCAATGACATCTTGCACAAGGAGGGCAAGACACAAAAGGTAATTGCTAAAGTGGCTGGCTGTTCACAGAGCTCTGTGTCCAAGCACATTAAAAGGGAGGCGAAGGGAAGGAAACGATGTGGTAGGAAAAAAGTGTACAAGCAATAGGGATAACCACACCCTGGAGAGGATGGTGAAGCAAAACCCATTCCAAAATGTGGGGGAGATGCACAAAAAGTGGACTGCAGCTGGAATCAGTGCTTCAAGAACCACCATGCTCAGACGTATGCAAGACAAGGGGTTCAGCTGTCCCATTCTTTTTGTCAAGCCACTTTTGAACAAGAGACAGCGTTAAAAGCGTCTCGCCTGTGTCTGCTGCCGAGTTGTCCAAAGTTATGTTCTCTGATGAAATACATTTTGCATTTCCTTTGGGAGTCAAGGTCCCAGAGTCTGGAGGAAGAGAGGAGAGGCACAGAATCCACGTTGCTTGAAGTCCAGTGTCAAGTTTCCACAGTCAGTGATGGTTAGGGGGGCCGTGTCATCTACGGGTGTTGGTCCACTGCATTTTCTTTGGTCCAAGGTCAACGCAGCCATCTACCTGGAAGTTTTAGAGCATTTCATGCTTCCTGCTGCTGACCAACTTTATGGAGATGTAGATTTCGTTCTCCAACGAGACTTGGCACCTGCACACAGTGCCAAATCTACCAGTACCTGGTTGAAGGACCATGGTATCTTTGTTCTTCATTGCCCAGCAAATTTGCCTGACCTTAACCCCTAAGCGGTATTGTGAAGAGGAAGATTTGATACACCAGACCCAACAATTCAGAAAAGCTGAAGGCCACTATCAGAGCAACCTGGGCTCTTATAACACCTGAGCAGTGCCACAGACTGATCGACTCCATACATGCCACCTTTCTGCAGTAATCCTTCATGTTCATACTTTTCAGTTGGCCAACATTTCTAAAAATCCTTTTTTTTTTTTTTAAATTGGTCTTAAGTAACATTCCGCACCTATGGTCATGAGCTCTGGGTAGTGACCGAAAGAATGAGATCATGGATACAGGCGGTAGAAATCCACAGGGTAGCTGGACTCTCCTTTAGAGATAGGGTGAGAAGTTTGGTTATTCGGGAGAGACTCAGAGTAGAACCGCTGCTCCTCCACATGGAGGGGAGCCAGTTGAGGTGGTTCAAGCATCTGGTAAGGATGTCCCCTTGACGCTTCCCCATGGAGGTGCTTCGGGCATGTCCGACTGGGAGGAGGCCCCGGGGAAGACCCAAGACACGCTGGAGAGACTGTCTCTTGGTTGGCCTGGGAACGCCTTGGAATCCTCCCAGAAGAGCTGGAAGAGGTGGCTGTGGAAAGAGATGTCTGGGCTTCCCTGCTCAAGCTGCTGCTCCTGCGACCCGACTTCAGAACAAGCGGAAGATGATGGATGGATAACATTCTAATTTTCTGAGATACTGAATTTGGGGTTTTCATTAGTTGTCAGCTATAATCATTAACATTAAAAGAAACATTTGATATATATATATCAGTCTGTGTGTAATGAATGAATATAATATACAAGTTTCACTTTTTGAATGGAATTACTGAAATAAATCAACTTTTTCATGATATTCTAATTTTATGACCAGCACCTGTATATACATCCTCTGGAGGCAACAAAGTGGACTGAGAATTTGTTTTCCCTTGTTCATTCAGGATCCAGGACCAGTTCCTCCATCCCCTTTGGTGGGTCTGAAGCCACTGCAGCTGCTGGAAATCAAAGCTAGGGGGCGCTTTGGCTGCGTTTGGAAAGCTCAATTAATGAGCGAATATGTCGCTGTAAAAATCTTCCCTGTTCAGGTTCGTGAAGTGCTCGTATTCAGTTGACTGGAACAAGTTTTTGTCTTGTTTGCTGCTTTGTGGATCAAAATACCAACAATTTCACCTGATTTTTTTTTTTTTGTCACTGATAGAAAATCTGAGTGCTGTTAGCATTTTCTGTTAGACTGAAGATTTTCAATTTCTTCCAGTCTCACACTGAAGCATAAGAAACGTTTTTCTATGACTCACTGAGGCTCGTGCGTGAATCCTTGGTTTGTGTTTACAGGATAAGCAGTCATGGCAAAATGAGCGGGACATCTTCGTGTCTCCGGGGATGAGACATGAAAACCTCTTGCGTTACATAGCTGCAGAGAAGCATGGCACGAACCTGGAAACGGAGCTGTGGCTCATCACAGAATTTCACGAGAGGGTGAGAAAACTTCTGCACACGTGCAGCAAATATACAGACTCTCACATACTTTAGAAAACAGAGGAGTCGGACGTTTTTTAGTACCGACTTACCCCCTTTAATTACCTTCAAAGAGAGCATAAAAACTCGTTTCAGATAAAAATATGTGCAAATTTGTATTTGGTGCCTTAAGCTAGATAAGATTGACATAATACATTTTTTGGTTATCATCTTGTTCCCAGAAGCTAAAAGCTATAATTGTCACAAGAAATGCAGCATTTTATTTTTACAAAATTATTTTTTTAGGCCTTATTCTCATACTTTATTTTTACTTTTGGCATTGGCACCAATAAATCTGTTTCTGTTGCCTCGTTGCCTTCATTGCTGCTTTTTGGGTGAATTTTTAACTGTGTGTTTATTATTTCTGTTTGTCAAATAGACGTAGAGCCTCCCCCTGCCTCTTTTTGGCTTCAGAAAACAGTTCTTATGAGAGCTTACTGTTTTAGTTGGTTTGCTTTTTGAAAGCTGAATCGAAGCAGAGCTTCTGGGAAATGGATTAAAAATTCCTGCGTAGGTGTTAATCCTTCTCCCTTAACCTTTGGTGTTTTTGTGTGCGAGCAGGGCTCATTGACAGACCACCTGAAGGGTAACCCTGTGACCTGGACTGAGCTGTGTCACATAGCAGAGACCATGGCCTGTGGCTTGGCCTACCTCCATGAAGACATTCCCAGCTACAAAGGAGAGGGGCCTAAACCGACCATTGCACACAGGTAAGAAAAGCAAAAATGAGATCAGTAATTTGGTTAAATGTGTTATATAAAGGAAGATGAGGTTAAAAACAAGACTGTTTCAAATTGGTTATTTGTGTTCGGATCTGTAAGTTTACAAAATACAACTAAATGCACCATAAGGTCTCCTGTGTTTTGCCAAAGTGTTGTTGGTTTTAGTAATTTAGAGTCTTCCTTTTAAAGTACTTTGCTTTTATTTAATGCATTTTTATCTTTCCAAATTGATGCAAACCCAATTTAATTACCGTACTTTTTTTTTGTGATAATAGGGCTGGATGGTATGGCCACAACTTTTATCGCAATATATTTCTTAATTTCGGTCGATAACGATGTAATTCGATATCAATATAAACGATATCAAAGCCTCAGAAAACTGTACAAACTGTACAAATAAATTAATGTTCACCTTTTATTTGTATTTGGCCTTCAAAGAAATTTGAAATCACCGTCAAATAAACATAAAACCCTCAGCTTTGTCAGTATTAATAGTTTTAACTTTAAACAACAACCTAACCCATGCAGCGTGGGTTTCTCTTGATACAGCTGGGGGTGGTGTTTCAGGGACACGTTGACTCAAACTTTTATTGCGCTTCATCTTCTGACTCTCAGCATATTCTATCCAGTGGACAAGTTAGATGTGTTCCCACCGCTAGCTGGAACGGCTCCCAACACATTTGGCAGCACACCAACTGAAACCTGCAGTTTATTGGATCTTAGAAAGCCGAACCACTTCCACACCGCCAAATTAGTCTTTTCTCACATCAGTTATGTCATCTGCTTTCTCTTCGCTTGTGAAAGCTTGTTCAGTCACATTCTGACAGTCATGGGCACTCATTTTGAAGTGAAAACTTACTGCGCGTTGGAGATTAGCCTAGCCTGCTACCGCTAACCCCTTCTGGACTCGAGCTCTGTGTAACATCGACGTCACCGTGCACTTGCATGGTTGTCGCACCGTTTTCTGTCCGGGTTGAAACTGAAGTGGAAGAAATGCATCAGTGAAACGCTGTAATCATATTGAAATATCGGAAACGTGCTTAAAACTCATATCACTGTTACTGAATAAAAGTATGTTGCGACGTATATTGTTATCTAATTATTGTCCAGCCCTATGTGAAAATGGTGCAGCGTTTGTTGTTTTGGTGCAGCTGATGTAATGAGACGAGCAAGAATCCAGACGGTGGTATTTTATGTGTAGAGGGTGTTCTAGAATAGGGTATACATGTTTATAAAGAACTTATTTGCTTATTAGTTTTCAAACAATACCCACTTCTACATCTTGATCTTGGATTTTGAATATCTCATTTAGAATTGCTCCTCACGGTCTCTCACAGACCACCTTATTTTTTACAAACCAGACTTTGGTTGAGGTAAATATTTTGCTACGATCCCTGATTGAGGAGGGAGTGGTGGCGTAGAGGCTAGAGAAAGGGAGCCTGTGATTGGGAGGTTGCCCGTTCAAATACCCAACCTGGCGAATCAAATTAGGGTGGGACAGGTGATGCACCTACATCTGCCTCCACCCTTATTTGCCCCACTTTGGGCCCATGAGCAAGACCCTTAACCCTCCAGCTACATGTGTGATGGGAAAATGCAGAGAATACATTTCCCCATTGTGGATTAACAAAGTGAACATTATTATTATTGTAAACAGAAGATGTGACTCCCTACAAACACCACTTTTTGTTCATGTATACATAACAGTATTTTTACTACCCAGTGTTCAACATATGGAGGTTTTGTCCTTCTCCACAGAGACATTTTGATACGCCCAGTTGTTAATTCGCATCATACAGCTGCAGAGTGCTGTTGTGTCCATATCAGCTCAGTTAAAGATGGGTTTTGTTGATGCATGGAAATCACTGCCTCGTTCTGGCTCTGTCTGTGTTTTAAGTCTCTGGTTTCGTTTGATGTAAAGACTACAGCACACTCAGGTACAAAGTTTGCACTGAAAGGTGGGATGTAAATCAGAACTCTGCTGCGCTGACTGAATTAGGTATCCATTCATCTTCAAAACCTGGCGGTTGCTTTATTTCCCCCCTCAGCTCAGTCATTTTCCTCTAGCTGTGCTTGAATTACGGTAATAGTTTCACTCTAAAAGCCTGTCGACTGATTTGTGTGACTGCAGTGACTAAACACGGCCATTAAAAACTGCATTTTAACGACTGTTGTGAAATTAATTGAACAGGGACTTCAAGAGTAAGAATGTGATGCTGCGAGATGATTTAACTGCAGTCATCGGGGACTTCGGGCTCGCTGTTCGATTCGAACCAGGAAAGCCTCCTGGAGATACTCATGGCCAGGTACGAAAAGCTTCATCATGGGTTTCTATTTCTCTCTGACCATTCTTTGTAGCTGTCACTTACTTACCCTGTAATATGTCTTCAAATAAACGCACAGTCAGATATCAACATGAATTTATGTGATGGTTGTTCTGTACATCTGTTTTCTTACAGCAAGTAAGACCCAAGTTTGATGCTCTGCTTCAATTCAGTTTATTTATAACGCGCCAAGTCACAACAGGAGTCATCTCAGGGCACTGAACAGAAACATCCATACATAAAAATAGTAATAAATATCTGAGGAGCAGACTGCTTTGAATTTAACTCCATCGCAGACTCTCATCTTGAACGAGCATGAAGGCAACAGTGGAAAGGAAAAACTCCTTCATGAGGAAGAAACCTTTAGCAGAACCAGGCTCAGGACAAGCGGCCATCTGCTTCGACCGGCTGGGTTTGAGAGGAACAGATACACAATGGCAGGTCAAGAATCACATGTTAAGATAGAAATAGTATCAAATGAAAACTATTCAATTTTAGCAAATCATTTAAGGCAATTAGGTCAATTTGTCTTCAAGTAGTCTAAGCTTAAGGCAGCATGACAAGCCCACCCTAACTATAGGATTTATCAAAAAGGAAAATCTTAAAACTGGACAATGTGTCAGCCTCACAGACAGAAACTGGAAGTTGGTTCCACAAGAGAGGAGCCTGATAACTGAAAGATCTTCCTCCCATTCTGCTTTTGGAAACTCTAGGAACCACAAGTAAACCTGCAGTCTGAGAGCGAAGTGCTCTGTTAGGAAAATATGGAACCATAAGATTTCGAATATAAGTTGGAGCTAGGTTGTTGAGAGCTTTGTAGGTTAGAAGTAAGATTTTGAATTCAATTCTGGACTTGACAGGGAGCCAATGGAGAGAAGCTAAAACTGGAGAGATATGATCTCTCCCACTAACTCCAGTTAAGACTCTGGCAGCAGCATTTTGGATCAACTGAAGACGTTTTAAAGAAGTATTTGGACACCCAGATAATAAACCAGTGCAATAGTCCAGTCTAGACGTGACACGTGCATGGACCAGTTTTTCTGCATCATTTTTAAATAAGATGTTTCTATAATTCTATATACCTTCTATAATGTGTCTAGGATTCCTGAGTCAAGGTTATGTTTCTTAAGTAAAGGTTTAATTACAGCATTCTTAAAGCTCTGTGGTATGTAACCATTTATTAGAGACAAATTAAGCAGATCCAAGACGTGATTATTAATTAAGGGAAATACATCTTTAAATGGCCTGGTTGAGATGGGATCTAGCAGACATGTGGATGGTTTGGATGAAGCCATTAACAAGTGATTAAAAACATTAATAGACATTTGTTTTTATTACATTTTTGTTTGTTCTTTGTTGTAGGTTGGTACGAGACGTTACATGGCTCCCGAGGTGTTGGAGGGAGCCATTAACTTTCAGAGAGACTCCTTCCTGAGGATAGACATGTACGCCATGGGCTTGGTGCTGTGGGAGCTCGTGTCCCGCTGTTTAGAGACAGACGGTAAGTCAAACAGTTCAGGAATGCTGCTTCGCCCACAGGTGAAAGGTCACTTTGCTTCAGGCTGGCCTCCTGTTATTTTGTCTGCAGAGCAGCCCGAGCAGGGACAACAAGTTGTGATGTTCATATAGTTGTAGAATTCTAATACGCCTTTTAAAATGGAAGTGCAGCTTCGTTTACATGATCTGTGCTGATACTCTTTTTGTTTCTGCTCAGGTACAGTTGGGGAGTACATGTTGCCGTTTGAGGATGAAATAGGTCAGCATCCCACCCTGGAGGATCTGCAGGATGTGGTTGTGCACAAGAAGATGCGCCCAGCCATCAAGGACTGCTGGCTCAAACATCCTGTGAGTAATTGTGGAAGAATGGCTGCAGCAGAACCAGGATGTGTTGCGTTCTTTATTTTATTTTTCTCTCATTAAAGTTTGATGCTCCGACTTCACGGCTCTCCAAAAAAGTTTTACTACAGCTATGAAAATCTTAGCCTGTTCTTTTAAAATGCAACAGGACGGATTCTTCTGTAACTTCTAATGTTTGGCTGCAGGGTCTGAGCCAGATGTGCGAGACCATCGAGGAGTGCTGGGACCACGACGCAGAGGCGCGACTGTCTGCTGGCTGTGTGGAGGAGCGCATCAGTCAGATCGCCAGGACGATAGGCAGCACTACCTCAGACAGCCCCGTCTCCATAGTGACGTCTCTCATCAACGAGGACCTACCTCCCAAAGAGTCCAGCACCTGAACGGATGACGCCACCCCCTTCCCCTGAGCTCCTGACTTTTTTTAAGTTTTTAAACCACAAACTCAGCGGATCGCCGTGAATAACAACTCAAGAACCCCGAGCAACTTCAACGCAGCTGCTATTTTCTCCCACTACTGGTATTTTATTTCTGTTTCAAGGTTTTTTTTTTTTTTTTTTAAAGTCAGATCGTATTGATACATCCATCTGCTGTAGTTGAAGTAGTAATAAGCTATGTGATGAGCACATCAGATAGCACCCCTTGTGTCAAACCTTAAATGTTGTTACCTCGTATTTCTTTCATGTTTAGTCTCTTTTTATTACCTCATGACTCCTCGTCTTTGATGTATTTCCCGTCGTGCTCGTAATCGTCTGCGGCCAAAACGATACAAACCTGTGCTCCAAACCTCAGACTCACCTCGGAGGACCCGTTTTTAGACTGTTAGACAAAATATATTCATCTTCCTCAGGGGTCGAAGCTTCTCGATTTTTTTTTTTTTTTTAAACTCTGAGCGTGCTCCCTTAATTTAGACTCCTCGGAGGAACGGAAGGGGAAAGCGAAGAGGAGCCACGGCCGTTTTATTTCAAGAGAGCGGGGCTAAATCAGAACTGAGCAGTCGTGTTGGATGTTTTTGGACTTTTTTTGAAGATTTGGAACAGGCGTCTTGTTCTCGGAACTACCTCTCAGGTATCCAGCAGGCTTCTTTGGAACATTTCTCTTCGTTCAGAGCCAAGCTAATCGGCTAGCTATCGTGGACATATTCCTGGACTTGTTTTCAGTTTTTATTATTCAGAGTTGCTCCTTTTTGCCAGTGCCAGGGGCATTGGCACATGCTGTCTGGAGTTGCAATGTTACTCATTTTTAATTTTAACTGTATGCATTTGTGTGCGAGTGTGAGAATCGAAGACTAAATGATGCGAGATGGACAAAAAGTGTGTGTTTTTAAAAGTAAGAACCGTGGACAGGTAATTTGAAGGGTTATCCTTGCAAGGGTCATACAGGAGCAAGCAACATGTCTGTCTTTTTTTAAAACTTTCATTGATATTTGGTTAGTATACTCAGTCGGGACACCAGTCCCCTAGATACCTCAGTCACTGTATGTCATGCAAGGAGAGCTCAAATGGTTGCCTTTGTCTCAAATGCAATGCCATAGTTGTACCATAACATAAAAACCATACATTGAATGTCCGTTATGCTGCTGTGACTTTTCCAGGATACTCAAGGATTTGTAGATGTATTGTTTGTTGATATTACACTAACGTGATAACTAACCATATTATGTGAGGCTAATATCCTGGTTTTTTATTTTTGTTTGTTTGTTCTTTGTTTTTCTTTTGACTGGGTAAGCCTTTAGCTGCTTACTCCTCCAGACTGACCTCAGATATTCTGACAAGTACCTCAGGCTTTTTCTACATGTATATCAAGTTGTGTTATGTATTTTATTGTGTTTTAGTAGCTGAGATATTTTATTGCAGGTTGGGCCTCTTGTCTTTAGTTTTTCTTGATTTTTTTTTAAAAAATAGAACCCGACCAGCTTTCATGGTGTTTTAAGCTCTACAAACCTAAAAGAAGAGAGGCAGATTCCTGTAAATATGTGTGTACACAGACACCTAACGCTATACATTTTTTTCTTCGTATACAAAATCAGGGCGTTGGTCTTCTTATTTCACAGTTACAGAAAGTATTTTTTTTCCAGAAACACATTTATATATTTAAGTTGAGCCCTGCAACTTTTTTTTTTTTCCTTTTAAAAGAAGTGTTACTGATATCAGTGAATTATGGTATTGGCTTATCTATATTAGAAGCTGTGAGGGTGGCACTGGCATTGAAAAACATTAGTGTGTATATCAACAAAAAAAAAAAGACAAACAAATATTTTTTATGGTTGTGGCAGCTTCTGTGATTGGCCACTTGTTTGAACAGTATTGCCTCAATATTAACCTGCTGATGTGATGTTCTGACCTGTTTAGTGATAGTTTAGCCACGTTGGACAACACACAGGCTCATCTGTTGTGCTTTGATTAGTGGTGTGGAAAGATAGTGTTTTTTTTTTAACAGTGGTCTGTAGCTCTTGCTGATGTGCAGTTTTGGTGAAGGACTTTTGGGGGTATAAAATCAACTCAGTGCTGAACAATGTTTTTAGTGTTTTGAAACCATCATTGTGTTTGTAGCTACATGACTGACCGATGCAGCACCGTCAGGATTCACTCAAACAGCGCCATGTGCACAGTCCAAGGGTTCAGCAATATTTCCTAAACAGCAATAGTCATTTAAGTCTATTAAATGCAGCTGTGACTTGGCAGGTATCCTCTGCAGATCAACAGAATACGTCTCCTCACACCTGGATCATGCTCTGCCAGTCAAAGTCTCCTAAGGTTGGGGTGGGAGGCAGTGGGTTGAACTTTGTTGTGTGCACGCTGAACGTGGCCCAGGTGCTTTCACAAATTGTGCCAGGCAAACAAACGGTCGCGTGCGAGAGTCCGCCGCAATCGGTTGTTACCTCCAAATGCTGTCTTACACCCAGCTCTTCTGAACCGAAAAAAAAAAACCATGTTACCTCATGCAGTACCTTGTTTAGTAACACTAACCTGGAGTCAGTCTCATCTTCAACAAAAAGAAAAACATATATCAATTATTGTGTATATATTTACTTGCTAAATGTAAAGGGTTTCTTCCTTTTCATGTGTGGATCCTGTGAAAGAAAAATCCTATATTTTTTTTCTTTGATTTTTCAGTCAGAATATTGTTCATTTCTTATAATAGTGTGAACGAATGTTGGAAATATGCGACCATCCCTGTTTATGTGAACTGCGTGTGTGTGTGTTGGTGAGTTTCTTTAAATTGGTATGAATGAAAATTTTTATCTGTGCATTGAAATGCTTAGAAATATAAACTAGATGAGAGTACGTTCATCTTTTTGTATATGAAAATAAAGAAAAATTCTGATTAACCACGTAAATTGATGCTTTTTTTGCATTTGTTGCTTGATTCCTAACAAGAACAGCTGGATTAAAAAAAAAATTAAAAGTAATGAGTATGAGTAACTTACCATGCTGTTGAATGATTTGATATGTACACTAGATGGCAGCAGGGGTGTCAGTGTTCAGTCATAAAATTTGAGACATTTTCTTGTTTGATATAAAACATCTGTCTCGTGCTGTTCTTTTAATTAAATAAGGGGCAGCTATACACATTTCACCCTCCTATTTTCATCAATAAACTCACAATAGTAAATACTGCTTATAGCATTTGGATTATAGAAAATCTTTTAAAAATACAATGGAGTCAAATGTCAATTTAAGTATAAAATAACACAAACATCTATTTGATATAGATTATTTACAGTATTGCTAGAAAATCCTTAAACAGTAGAGTCCAGTCTACGTGGGGCATTCACAGTTCATCCGTATAATTGCTATTTAACGAACGTATGTATTAAATGTACAAAGCCAGTTTTTAATATTTTTGATGTTTTAAATGCAATATTCACTTGGAATCAAACTTAAATTTTGAAGCGGTTGCTCAAATATAACCCCTAGACCACATGCTATTTTAATTTGTTTACATAAACTGGTTAACTTGCTAATTTCTTGAACCTCAGTTTTTAAATGTCCAACAGCACCTGAAGGCGTCACATTTTTTTTTTTTTTTTTGCCTTGGGCAGATCTGACCAATGAGAGCTCATCTGAAACATCACGTGATTAAACCGCCTCGTAAACTAGGATTGAGTTGAGAGAGTTGCAAAGTCGTTACTTCGCGATGTACAGTTAATACAGCGACGCTTCTTGCCTTTTGTTGGTTATTTTTGCCTAACGGACTTTTACTACTTTTAATTATCAAAACATTGGCTACGTTGGCAGTTATGACTTTAAACTGCCAAGCAGGTGAGTTAAAAGCGTTTTTTTTTTAACTGCAAGCAAAGCAGTTTTTTTGATTCGGGTCGGGTTTGTTTTTACCGGGGGAGAGCATCGTTTTTCATCTTGAACAGAAAAAAAAAAATCGTTTTTTTAGACTAGAACTCATATAAATTTACTCCTTTTCGCTTTTGGTGCAAATTATAGCTTTGCCTTCAAACATATTTTAACTATGAATTGGTTAGCTATTCAGTTTTACGAAAACATAACATTTTAGCTATGCTAACGAATTAACGTTAGCTATAAGCAAGTGAAAAACAAAAAACCCAAATATGTTGCTGTAGTTAGAATGTTAAAAATAAGAACTTTTAAAAATGATATGCGATCAAATATGATTACTAGACTAAATAAAAAGAAAACATCCAGAAGAGATTAGAGCTTGCTTTGCTCTTGCATGCTTTGTTGCACACATTAATAACCGAATTATAAACTGTAATAGTTCAGCAGATTTAACGTGTTTACATGTTGATAACTAACCCATAAACACATGCTTTCAGTCACCTAATGATGCTCTTTCTTTTAGCCGTCCAAGGACGAGGGCAGCGTGGTGCGTTCAGGGACTAGCTGGCCGACTGGAGCGCCTGTGAACGGCTGCTCCAGCTGCTGGGATGCTACGGAAGAGCAGCAGCAGCAGCAGTGCTGGAGGTGGAAGTGGGACAAAGCACATCCAACAGCTGCCACGGCACCACTCCAAACCACACCCAGAATCTCTATCCCCTGGATCTGCCAAGGCCTGGGCCACTATGGGTCGTGCCACCAGGAACCCCAGCCCTCTGAGCAGCATGTGGCTGTCATCCCGCTTGATGGGATCCCCTGGTGTGGACCCAGACTATGTCATGCAGCTGGTGAATGATGTGCGGTGGTTTGCTGATGTGCTGATCAGACTCAAGGATGCTTTTCAGCAGCAAGGTGGGTTTAGAAAGAACCGGGACGTTAAAAGTTTGGTACAAGAGGTCGCAAAAACACAAAACTACAAATGAAAAAGGCAGACGTACCGTCGGCTATTCATGCTATTTACTTTGTCACTGATATCAGAAACTAAATCTACTGCCATCTTAATTTTCTATTTAAAGGGTTCCCCCTTTTCTCTTTGTCTGTTTTTCATTCAGATGTGATTATTATTATTTTTTTTTACATAATGAGACTTGCATTCCTAGAAGGAAAGCATATGCTGCCTTGCATGCATGTTATTCAAAGTTGATTTGTTAACTTTTAGAGTATGTGTTGCTGGTAACTCTCAGCTACTACCACACCAGGGTTTAGCTTAATATATGGAAAACTGACTAAGAAATAGCCATTTTTGTTTTTATGCTTGATTGAAGGCCATCTTCAGTCTTCTCAATAACTTTCTGAGTAGAAAGCCAATAGCTCAGAGGCTGGAGTAATTTCCCAACATAAACATTGTACATAGATCAACAAACCATGCTCAATAATCCAGGTATACAATCACAACAATTCTCAGTCAGGTCATCTGGACAGATGTTGCACAGATGTTCTGTGCAGTGAAAATGTTGGCGAACGCAGACACTGATCATTGATGAAAATGCCCAACTAGCATCACAGGCATGAAAATATGTAGTTATGAAGTCATAATCAGTGGTATCAGTGAATCAGTTTTGTAGATCAAGATAACATGCATTCTCAAGAATCTAATAATGAATTGAATTCTTTCACAAAGAATTTATCTTTGTTCTTTATCTTGCAGCAGTACATGTAGCAAAATATCCCTGAATGCATGCAGGTCAAAACCTTGGCTTTGTTTGCTGTAAATACAGACAGGATCGTGGAGGCTGATTGACGTCAAAAGCATAATAATGTGTACATTCAAATAAGACAGTTTTAACCCTTGTATTGTGCTTGTACTTTTTGACCATTTGTGTTCCTTATGGGAAAAAATCTGACTTTTATTTAACTGCTTAAAAATACTATTTTTTTTTTACAATTTTTTCCCACATAAAAACTAGTCAGTCTTTTAGAGCTATCTTAACCTGAAATAAAAACATCAAATTTAAATGACTTTTTGTTTTAACTCTTTATGGGTTTTTTGTAAACAACAAAAAAAAAAACTCCACTTAATTTTATTTATTTATTTATTTATTTTTTTACAAAATTTTAGTTATTTTCCCCCTTTAGTACACCCAAAATGATTATTTGAGTATTAACCAAAAAAAAAATTCCTGTCAGGAGTTTTGTGAAGTCCCTCCAGACCACCGGACCCTTCAGAATCTGTAGCTGAAAATGAGGCCTTGTTTTGGGTCAAACTTACTTGTCTGGTCTTCGAACATTGGAGTTTTTTTTTTTTTTCCCAACCATTTTAGATATACGAGCAAGCTGCACAGCAGTGGCGGAGTCAGACAATTTTCATAGGAGTGGCCACACTGGAACCAGTGCTCATACCAAGTTGATGTGGATCTAGAAGTGTTTTGGTCATTTCCTCATTTACTTACACAGGCAGTGACTACCGTGTATAATAGCATGACTGAAATTGGTCTTGTGATTGTGAAGTGCTGGCGTCGAACACTTGAGTAAGCGGCGAATTTGCCCCTTGCTGCCTGTTGTTGAGAAGGGTGCATCTTAACTCAGGTTGAGATTACTGCCTGTTTTTTGTTTTTTTTTTAATCCAAGGGCTCATCATGACATATGTAACCAACAGAGAGACAAGCTAGAACATGCACACATACATAAAGACAGAGGCAAATATATGATCGCCTGCCTTTCACAGCACTGCGCAGTAACTATTGTAAGCCCAAGATAATGATTTCAGGAAATAGTAATGAAAGTTATAGGTGTTCAGATAAAATAAGATATTGTTTAAAATCAAACTACTTATTATTTAGATTTTTGTCATTTTGTTGATGTTGCAGATTTATTTTAGAAATTAAGTTGAATAGGGTTGCACGATATTATCGGCATGGTATCGGTATCGGCCGATATTGGCGATAAAGTTAAATATCGGACATTCAATCAAAATAACTCACCGATATAAAAGGCGTTGTTTATTTATATATATATATATATAAAGACCATGCAGAATAATGTAGTATTTTAATTCCACAGCAGAGAAAGCTATGTAGTTTCTGTAAATTGGTCTAGGGAAAAAAAACCATCAGTATTGGTATCGGTTATCAGCCAAATAAGTTTTAATATATCAGATATCGGCCAAAAAATCCAATATTGTGCATCCCTAAAGTTGAACTTTTATGTTGCAACACTAAACTCTGAGTTCTGTCATTGATGCCATAGATAGCAAAAAAAA